GTCCCAGTTCGAGTTCCAGTCCCATTCCACAGTGGCCATTACCCAGTGCCCCGCCAACATTTCCCATTCCCAGCCAACTCAACGTTGTCATTTCGTTGTGCTTAACCACTTTCCAATCATCGTTCACATCCATGTAGCTCTGTAGCTTCCGAATCCCCAAGTCAAGCTAAAAGCTTACTTACAGACTAGGGTTGATGCAATCCCATGTACCCCGATGACTAAGATGACTAAGCGCACGCTTCAGCACTTAACATGTTTTTCGTAATCGCTAATGGATTCCAAATTGCATGTGCTACTGTGGGGAGTGCAATCTCGAGACCCCTGAAATCGAATATTTCTGAGAACAGAAAGCTTAATTATCTTAAAACATTTAAATATGCTTTACTTATATATTATTTGCGATTCATTTTCTATTTATAACAAATCGTCATGCATAAATTCATATTTAACTTAACTTAATTAATGATGACATAAAAGTAATGCCTGATATCTCTGAAGTCACGAGCAGTTGGCCAGCTGAATTATAATTTCGAAATCTAAAGAAAGATTTAAAGAGTTTTTAAGAGTGATTAGTCTAACAAGCATATTTTTGTATTACCTTTTTTTTACTTTCACTAGTATTTATGAATCCCTACCCTATCGAAATTCATAACCATTTACCCCTTTAAAGTTAATCTTTATTTACTAATACCATACTAACCAAGATTTTTTGTTTCTGTTCTCTTCTCCCAACAGAACTTAGTTTCAGCGATACTTGTGAGTACCCGGATCAGGATTATATAGCTGCCATAGTTTCCTATAGTGTAGCATTCAACTTCCGTACAGTGTATGCTTTTTAAGATGGGATTTTAACGATCTTCCCATCGCTGGCATCCACTGTACTGTATATACATTCATATATATAAATATCTGTGTACATAATCTGTATAGCTATTGCTTTTGAATGCGCTTGTTTTCCATTTATAATGTGTGTTTGTACTTCCTGTTTGAGTTCTGTCTTCGTTTGTGCTTCAGTTTACGCCCACAATTACACCCATTTTATTGTTTTGTACAAAATTGTATATATGCACACGATCCCAAGATCGATATCCCCATATGATTTTGTCCCGTTTGTTCCCATTCGTTTGTGCGTATAGCGTATTCCCATCTCTGTCTCATCCATTTCATGCCAGATTTGGTTTACTTTTAATGTTTACATGGCTTTGCAAAAAGGCAGTGCCCAACTATCCAATTTGCAAGGTTATTTAATGTAGCGAATGGTATTTAGCTTTGGAAACGGTTTGAAAGGGTTGTAGACACTTGATAGCCCGCATCCACCATACCTTGTGTGTACATATATGCCACTCTCACTACCCCCCATCTCATCCAAGTGGTTCGTTTTTCCGTTCCCTAGGTTTCTGGAAATGCGCGCGGTGCCAAAATACGATCCATACTCAGCTCCATTATTCAGAGCGAGACGATCTACGTGGAATGCCTCAATAAAATGATGCAGGTGAGTAATTCGGCTCGAAGGACCAAATGTTATAGTGTATAGTGTGGGAGATGGGCAGAAAACAAATTACATTTTTAGAAATTTCCAAGCAATATCACCTCGAATTTATATATTTGTCAAATTCGGTAGTTTCTGAAAAAGTAAAAAAAATCATGTCGTATGACCTAAAGAAGTTGCGACGTGAAGCAATGAAAGTGATTAAATTAATAAAGTGGCTAATTGATATTATTACAAAATGCAGTACAAGAAGGCCATCCACGCAACCCTGAACACTTCGCAGCCTGTGATCAAGGAGGAGGAGGAGAACACGATCTTCTTCAAGATCGACGAGCTCCACGATCTGCACACCGCCTTCCTATCCGACCTGAAGACCATAGTGTCCCACGAGGGCGGCGATGTGCTGATCGGTGAGCCATTCCGCCGACTGGCCGAGATGTTCGACCTGTATAGCGCTTTCTTGCACAACTACAAGAATGCCATCGAGACGGTGAAGAAGTGCAGTGCGAATAATCCGCAATTCAAGAAGATAGTCTCGACCATTGTGGTCAATCTGCAGACGGAGCAATCGCTAACATTGGAGGATCTGCTGCACAAACCGGTTGCACGGGTGCAGATAAACGCGTTGGTCTTCAACGATCTGTTGCGCGAAACCCCGAATGCCCATCCGGATCACCAGCCGTTGCGGCAGGCGCAGAAGATCATTCAGATGTTCCTTAACCAATTCAATGTGGTCAACCAGCGACTGCCGAGCGAATCGAATCGGAACTTGAGACGCATGGTGCGCAATTCGTTCATTGTGGAGCTGGTCGATGGTCACCGCAAACTGAGGCATCTCTTCCTTTTCAACGATGTGATTGCGTGCGCCAAGTACAAGGCACTGGGACGTGATCGCATCGACTATGAGCTCAAATGGTTCATCCCGCTGAAGGAGATATCCATTTACGAGGAGGCGGATCCGGCGGCCGAGCTGAAGGAATCTAGTCCAGCGAATATTTCGCAAGTGAAGCGCAATCTGCGCTCGGTTCGAGATCAATTGGCCATGGAGGTGGCCAACAGTGGAGGCGGTGGAGTGCGCTCCGGCGACAAATATCGCCGCAAGTTGGCGGATCTGGAGTCACAGCTGGTGCTGGCCACGCCCAATCTGGTGCTGCGGCTGGGCAACAAGGCCAACAACAAGACCATGACCTTCTTCCTCAGCTCGGACTTCGAGCGGACGCAGTGGATCGACTCGATCACGTCGCTCAAGGTGAGTTCTCCATCTTATTTCTTATTTCAATTGAATTTGGAGTTAAACATATGTCTTGTATTTGTAGCAAAAGTGTAACCTGCCTGGAGCCAATACCATCAATTCCCTGGAGGTCACCGCTTTCATTGTGGCCATGCAGAAGGGCATGAAGACTGAAATGGGTTCGTATCTGATGCGCAACACCAACGACGAGAGCCTGCTGGTTGGCGATCTGCACATGGCGGTCCAGGGATTGGGCGGACTGGAGCAGGCGGCCGACCTGTACATCTGCATCGAGGTGGATTCGTACGGCCACTACTTCCGCAAGGCCACCACCAAGATGGTGTGCCGCAGCCAAACGCCGCTGTGGAACGAGAGCTTTATGCTGGAGCTGGAGGGCAGCCAGAATGTGCGCATTCTGCTCTACGAGGCAAAGGAGCGACCGCTCCTCAGGGCCAAGCACATACTCAAGGTGAGCTACTTTTTAATGTGATATTAGACTTCATGTTAATCTTGTCCTATGATCCCCCAGTTGAGCCTCAGTTGGCTGACAGAGACAACACAGCCGCGAACCATTAAGCTTAGTGAGACCTTGGAGCTGGGCTGCAGCTTCCGGTTTGTGCCCGGCGAGCTGTGCCGCGCCACCACCAAGCCAGGAGCCCTCTTCGGTGCCAAAATGAGTCAAGTATTAAAGTGGGTATAAAACTCCCATCGATGCTCTTTCATACTTATAAGTATTTCGTGCCCTTTTCAGACGCGAGAAACGCGACATTCCGTTCATCATCAGTGCCTGCATTCGGGAGGTGGAGCGGCGGGGCATGCTGGAGGTTGGCTGCTATCGCGTCAGTGGATCCGCCTCTGATCTGGCCAAGCTCAAAAAGGCTTTTGAGTCGGGTGAGTAACTAGCTTAAATGGATAACCTATACTTCTTACTAATGAGCCCTTTAAATGTATCTTAAACAGATGCCTATGAGGCGGAGCAGCTGCTGCGCGAGGTAGACATCCATTCGGTGACTGGCATTTTGAAGACCTTCCTAAGAGAGCTGCCCGAGGCCCTGTTCACGGATCAGCTGTATCCGCGATTCTTCGACACATTCAGCGCCTTTAGCAACAACAACGAATCAACGCGAATCAACGAGCTGCTTAAAGTTTTCGAGGAGCTGCCGCAGGTCAACAAGGCCTCCATCAACTCGATTCTAGATCATCTAATTAGGTTGGTTGCAGACTTCTATCAACCGAAATCCTTACTTATCTATGAATTGATTTCATCCTTATAGAGTCCACGAAAAGGAGGCGGACAACAAGATGTCGCTGCACAATCTGGCCATGGTCTTTGGGCCCACCTTGCTGAGGCCGGGCCAAACGCAGGTGAAGCAAAAGGATCCGCTGGCGGCCAGCACCGTCGACGTGATGGCCCAGGCCGGCATCCTTTACTGCTTCCTGCAGGCACGCATCAAGAAGGATTAGGACTTAGAAAGCCGTCTGCACAGATATACATATGGAATATATATATATATACATATATATAAACATAAATTATATATTTTTTTTACATAGCAATAGCGGTAATACGAACGAAATTGGATGGATAGCCTACGCATGCACCACGCCCCCACCTGTCTGCCACGCCCCCAGCACAAATTATACACAAGAAACGCCTAAACTCTGGAAATCGCCTGAAAACACACATTGAAAACGCTTGAAATTCGCCTAAAATCACACGTGAAAACACTTTAATACACCTGCGCTGCCAATTGTATATACCAGAAACCGGAATTGCAACTAAAAACTGAAGATAGGGATGGATCTGGCGAGGAATACGGAATATTATGCCCCCAATATCCAATATTGGATCCGGGGATGTGAACAAATCTGCTCAATGGCGGGCTCACACACGCACAACACAACACACACATCAGCAACAACACACACCTGGGATGATCAAGTGTCTAACACTGAATAGCTGCTCCTCCGCTTACTAAATATTATTCCCATGTATTACAGATATTTCCGTAGGTCTGTAGACTGTATGCTTTACCTTTTAGATGCGACCCCCACAGCTTACTGCAACTATTGCAAAAAAGTTAAAAAAAAAGATAGGGAAAGCATAAAATTGCAAATATTTTCAATATTACACGTATATATCTAGAGACATATATACCAACCTATATATAATTAATTACTACTACTAGTACTATAATTTACTAAAGTGAGGTAGCAAGTTTTCCCGGCTGATTGATCAATGATTGATATACGATGTATGTGTTTGCTTAAAAAATTCTGTTTTTTTTTTCTCGTCTTGTTTTATATTAATTATTTAGGTTTTTATATAAACAGAAGCGTAAAATAAAGTATATTCTATTTAGAAATTGCCATCGAGATTCGGTAAATGATTTCGCGGAGTTGTTAAAACTAAGAAAATTACGAAGAGCAGGGTTTTTTGTTCGATTTTATAAAATTATAATTTATATGTATTATAATCTTTACTTTATACATTTGAATCAACGTTTAAGCTAACTGTTGCGGGGGATTACTGCTCCTCCTCCTCTTCGTCCTCATCTTGATTTGGCTGCACACTGCCCTCCACATCGAAGAAGGATTTCCTGCTGCGTTTCGCCGCCGTTGCCGACTGACTATCACCGAACTTGGCCGCCGTCCGCTTGCGAAGCTCCTCCACGTCCTGGCTGTCATCATTGGCGCTCCACTCGAGGACCAAACGACGACCGTAGAGATGCGTACTGGCGCTCAAGGCCTCAAAGGCGCGCTTGGCCTCCGCCTTGGACATGTAGTCAACGAATCCAAAGCCACGGTGCGCCTCCTCGCCAGTGGTGGCCTTCTTGGGAATCCTCAGAGAACGCAGCTCTCCAAAGGCCCTGGGAATCGAGGATTAGAAATAGTATATCAAGAACAAGAACTCCCAACAGGTATGACCAATACCCACTTGAATATGTCTCGAACTTCGCGGTATTGCGCCTGGAAGGGAATATTCCGCACCAGAATCTTGGTGCCAGTTTGTTTCTTCTGCGAGGCCAGTCGACGTTGTGCTCCATCATTGTCTTGGGTCCTGAAAAAGATTGGAAGGGTTTAATCATCTGGGGCTTGCTATTTGGATTTCACTACTTACTTGAGCACCCGATCGCTGCGCTTGAGCTCCACGGGATTGCCATCGATGTGGGTCAGCTGCAAGTTTTTAAGGGCATGCTCGGCTACGGAGGACTTCTTGAACTGAATGAATCCGTAGCCCAGGGAATTGAAGTTCCGGGGATTCTCGGGATCCCTTCGTTTCGCGATCTCCACGGTGTGAATGCTGCCCAGGTGGCGGAAGTGTTTCTCCACGGTTTCCTGCACGGTCTTGAAGTTCAGATTGCGCAAGAAGAGTGTGGTATTTGGTTCGGGCTCATCATCGGCATCCTCTGCTCTGGGTACCTCCTTCTTCTCCTCCTCTGCCTTGACCTCTGGCTTCTCCTTTTGCTTTGGTTCTTCCTTGGGTTTCGGCTCGGGCTCCGATTTGGGAATCACTGGCTCGCCGCTGAGGGTCTTGGTAAAGACCTGCTCGGGTGCCCACTCCAAGTAGAGCGGGGCGTTCTTGAACTTGCTGTAGGCCAGCTTCTTGAAGGCTTGCCTTGCCTCCAAGGGATCACAGTACTCGATGAGCGCCGTCACCCCACTGGGAGGTAGCACAATCCTGCCAATCGGGCCAAAGCGACTGAATATGGGCGTAAGCTCCGAAGTTTCAGTGGCGGCCGGCAGATTCTTGGCTAGTATCACAGTGTTGGAGCGTTTCTTGGCGGGCTCATCGAAGGCATTCAGCCGGACGCCTTCCTCCTCCAGAAAGCGCTTCATCTCAATGACGATTTGGGTTTCGCCCAGGGCGAGGCGGACGGCGGCTCCACTGCCACCGTCGCTGGTGTCCAAGATGCGCTCCTTCGAGGTCTTAAACTGCTTGGCCAGAATGTCCGCAACGGCATTGGCACCCAGGAACAGTGTGTTCCAGCCAATCGGCTTCTGGGCGCTCTTCTTCAGCTTCAGGGCCTTCTTCTCTTTAAACGAGAGACTGGCATCGTTCTCATCCAGATCGTCTTGTGGATTCTTTTCGATATCCTTGCCGGGCAGCAGGTGCAACAGACGTCCATGGAAATCCGTGCCGTCCAGGCTATTGAATGCCTTCAGAGCGTGCTCCGGCATCATGTAGGTGACTGTTCCGAAGCCCTTGATCTTTCGCGTAAGCTTGTCCACCGGCAGGTTCACCTCCACCACGGGACCATATTGCTCGAACAGCTTGCGCAGCTCCTCCTCAGTGGTGGTGTAGGCCAGATTCCGGAAGAATATCCTCCCCGATTCGGAGATGTCATCTTCCTTGGACAAGCTGTCCTGCTGGTGCTTCCACTTCGCATTGCCCGCATCTGCGGCGGCCGGATCCGCCGATGATTGTCCACTCTTATTCGCTTTGGTCACCTTGTTCTTCTCGGTGAAGTCGGAGAAGAAGACCTGTTTGCCCTTGATGAAGCTCTTGTTCTTTAGCATTCCCTTGGCCATATCTTTTTCCGTCTTGAAGCCCACGTAACAGAAGCCGTGCACTTTGCTGGGCAGTCGGACGGAGTAGGGCTTCAGGGGCTTGAAGAACTTGAGCACCTCCTGGCGCTTCGTGTTGTACGGCACATTGTGGATTTTGATGGTGAACAGCTCTAGGTTGGATTTGTCCACCTTGGCTTTGGGTTTCTTGGCGGCGGCATCTCCGGTTGCGGGTGCCATCAGGGATTTCATGTACTCCAGATCGCTGATGGGCTTCTCAGCCAGTTTGGCCTCTTCTTCCTCGTCATCGTCCTCGGCCTCATCTTCCTGGCCATCCTCATCCCCTGCATCGGCATCCACTCCACTGTCATCCCTGCCACCTGGTGGATCTTCCTGGTCCTCTGCATCTTCACCATCCTCCTGCTCTTCCTTGTTGTTGTTCACGCCCAAATCGTTGCCCCACAGAGTACGCGACTTGTCGTGCGCCTGCAGAAACTCCTGGAACTCCGGATCGTCCTTGTGCCTGCCCAGAATCTTCTCCACCTTGTCCGTCTTCTCTTTGCTTTTCTTTTTGGCCTCCTTAGTTTTGGCGGCCGCCGCCTCCTCCTCCTCCTTGGCCTTCAGTTTGTCCAGGTTCTTCTTGCTGTCCTTGGCGTACTTGCTCCATGACTGGGGCTTATCCTCGCTGCCCAGGGCGGCACAGGATTCTACGCGCACCCGGCTGGTTTGGATGCAGGTGTTGTTAAAGTGTCTGATGGCCGACTGGGCCTCCTCCTCGGAGCTGTAGCCCACAAAGCAGAACTGCCGGAACTTCCCATCGGGCGTATACTTTAGCTGCAGATCCGTAATTGTTCCCTGGGCACCGAAAATCTGACGCAGTTTGTCCTCGGTGATCTGAAATCGGGGGATTGTGGGGCTATATCTTCCTGTGTGACCATAAAATTCAATCTACTTACATGCTTGGGCAGCTGCTTCACTATAATACGCGACATTTTGTGACTTATTCGATTGGCAGCGGCTTTAAAATCAATTCAAGTGCATTTTTGTTTACGAACAAATCAAAACACGCGCACGTGTATTACTCCTCAGTGTAGCGAACTTAGCTATTTTCACGTCAACTTTGGCTGTTTTTCTGCTGTTCTGCTAGCTGGCAGCACTGACTAGAGATGGTAATAATAATTTAGAGGCTATTGCCATTCTTGACTTATCGATTTTCTTGAAAATCGAATAAAACGAACAAATTCAAATATCTAAAATGCTGCAAAGATAAACTAACGGTTTTTTTCTAACTATACTGTTTTTTAGGAAGGGCTTCATTTTTCTGGTTATAATTTGATTTCTACTATCATGTCCTCCAGCTTTTCCAGTTTATAATTTGCGTCATGAAAAAGCCCACATAGATGTTCCAATTCGACAACCAACCTTCTAGGATAGCGTTCTTTTTTGGTATATTTTGATGATCGAAACAAGTAGGTCACCAAGTCCATAACTTCCTGCTCCTCTTGCAAGATCTCCAGTATATCGTCGTGCGATTGCTTCAATTTCGTAATGTGACTCCATTCCATCAATTTGGAATATATTCTATATAATACGAGCACAACGAGCGTTACGAAATGTATCGAAGTACCGAATAGTATAAGAAACATTTTTTATTATTAATGTATTCTCCTGAATTTGAGAGTGCTGACGTTTATGTACGGGATTGTATGTCTGACTAAAATTCTAGTACATTTTTCAAAGCAAGGCAGTTTGAGTAGAGCTGACGTTAAAGTATGAGACTATATGACTTACAAAATTTGTACAGCATTTTTCAAAGCAAGGCCTTGTAATAAGTTGTATTTTTAAATATATGTATTGAGAAGGATTTTTTCTAATAACATTAAATAATCGTGTATTAAGAAAAACACTACCAACTTTGGTTTAAGTTTATTTTGTTTTAAACACTTTACTTGCACTAAGAACCCGCTTTTAATATATGTAAATTGTATTTTCTATAAAAAAGTATATTTTCCTAATAACATTTGAAAATTCGAAGCTCCTGGTATTATTTAAAAACACATTATGAGCTTTGGTTTAAGTATATTTTATTTCAAACACTCCACTCGCACTGACGAAACCCTCTTAATATATACAAATATATAACATACTTAGGCCTAGAGATATGTATAAACATTAGCTGACATCGTTATGTGCCTTATTTCGTTGCAGACACGGGGACAAAAAAAAAATCATAATGGAGAAGAATCAACCAGACTCCAAGTTTGTATGGGTAGCTCGACCAACAATTAACGAAATCGGCTACCCAACTAGATAATCAACAAAAGTTCCCCAACGGATGTACCGATCGATTACTTTTTGAAGCAGATCTTGAGTATTCGGATGACGGGCGCCTCGAAGAAGGCGGATATGACAAAGGCTGAGCCGAAGGACACGACGGCGTTGCCCAGGAACAGGGTCAGGATGAGGGGATTGCTCAGGTGGACGGTGCCGCTCATGTGCGAGGAGCAGATGAACATGATGATGGGATGGATCAGATAGGCGCAGTACGTGAGTCGCGACAGGGGCCACATAACGCGATACGACAGGATCGCATTTACGGTGGGCGCCAGGCCCCAACAGCAGGACAATACGATCCACACCAGTCCGCATCCGAAGGCGGTGTGGGCTACGCCCACGTAGAACGCGCTGCTGACGGTGCTCAGTTGGCCCTCCCAAACGCCAAAGACCACTATGAGGAGCACAAACAGGCTGCCCGCCCAAAGGGATAGGTTTAATCGCCTGGAGACTAGCGGCGGAGTCTTTACCTTGTACAAAACGTAGCCAGCACACATTCCTGAAAAATAAACGTTGGATTATGTCAGGTGAGTCAAGAACTTTCATCACTTTTAGTAAGGATTATAAAATATACATCATATTTCGTTCTAAAATGTTAGAAAAAATTAGTCTGTCCTTGGTGCTTCAAAAATGTTTACTAATTATTGTTAGTCAAACTAATTTTATAAATATTGTATAGATTTTATGTGGGGTGGAAACAGTTAATAACACAAACCCACACTATATTAGGAATATTTGGTAAAAATGTGGATACCATTTCGATATCAAGATAATATTTTATGACCATATAGACCAATTTATTTGTAATATCTTCCTTTTCAATTGGTATACCTTTAAATATCTCTGATATCTTTTGAAAATGTTATAATTTGAGTGCTCTTGCATTTATAAGTCCCTGATACTCTATAAAAAGTTTACTCACCCACAATATAAGAGCCCACTCGCTGCCAGGGTTTGTCATACAAGAAGTCAAAGGACTCGAAGGGCAGGGCCACTTTATGGGTGTACTGGTGCTGGAGGGAGATAATACCAGAGATGCTCCAAGAGCTAAGTAGAAATACGATTAACGTGACAGCCACGGCCTTAAAGTACCTAAAAATGAAATGTATCAAAAATACAGGACATACTACACAGACCACCTTTTAACTTACTTTCTGGCCAAGGCCAAGAGCAGGGCAGCCATCACATAGAACTGCATTTCATTGGCCATATACCAACTCCACATCATGCACATCTCCGTCTGCGGAAAATAGTTGTTTATGTACAGAATATTGCGCCACCAATAGACGCGGCAAGTGTTGTGCTCGATTTTGGCCGGTTGAAAGACCGAGGTTTCCAAACCTTGTCTGCAAAGAAATCAATCCACATTATAACTAAGAATGTTACAATGGACCATACCAAATATACCTCACCTTACGGCAAAGTCATTGAAGATGACCACAAAGAGATATACTGGAGTGAGTCGCAGATAGCGATAGAGCAGCATCATCAGGGTTTCCGAACAACTGCGCTTGATGAAGAGACAGGTCTCGGCAGGATGTTTGCGATCCTGCTTGAGGTAGAGCAGGGTGACCAGCAGGCCGCTGATGAAGAAGAACGAGTCCACCGAGAAGGTGGCATTGCCAATCACCTGATACCAAAAGGAACGCTCCGTGATGACCCTTTCAAACTGCAAATTTTGCTTGGTTATTATGGTCTTCTTTTATTTACGATGCCAAGTACTTACTTTATTTTCGCCAATGGCAAACATCTGCAGATAGGTGTGTACCATCATGGTCCACAGAACAGAGAAGACCCTCAGACCATGCAGACAGGAAGTGTGAGTCTATTAAGGGAATCCAGCAGTAGCAGATGAATTGAACTTTGTGGATACTTTACCTCTAAACTTACCTCCTTGGTCTTGTCAATATTTAAGATGGCCTTGGCATTGGTTTGCAAGGCAAAGCATAAGAGTATTTGCTGGTGCAGGGCTGAAAGAGATTAAGGGGTTAGGACTTGAAATGTGTTGTGAACCACACTCACCAATGGGTTGCTCTGCCTCATAGGTTCCCGTGGCTCCGGCACAGCTTCCAGTTTCCACCTGGTAATCGGTCATTTCCGATTTGCCCGCCATCGAGCCCATCGCTGTGGAGGTGTTGGGGTCACCAACTACCCCGTTTACACCATCCGCCATATCGGTTGAGTCCCCCGATCTTTGTCTATTCCCATTGACATCCATGTCGGGACCATCAGTTGTGGGATTTGCGCTGCCCAAGGGACGCATTTGAAAGAGCTCGAAGGGCTTGGCATAAAAGCCACCATTCTTCGCCGAGGTTCCATCGCATTTGCCACTAATAGCCGCAATCGGGGCCACCACCAAGCGACGTTCGTCGATCTTCAGTTGGTAATAGGAGGCCACCAGGATCACCAGGAATAGTGTGAGCATAAAGCTTCTACAGGGTGAATTAACTTGGATTAAGTACAGGGTTTTTCTAAGATGACAACCTACATGAAGACCTGGAACTTCAGCTGTCGCCAGTGACTGTAGAGACCGGGCACAGTGCGGACGTGCAGAACCTGGAGCGGAGGTTGCTGCACCGAGGTATTGTGTGCCCCCAGAACGGTGAGCATTCGAGCATATGGATCCAGAGACAAGATGGACTGGACATCGTGGGCAGAGCAGGATTTGGGCAGGCACTCTCCCAGGCTTAAGAGCATCTGAAGCGGAAGAGAAGCAGGATTAGCTAGGAACTTTGAAGATTCTCCAGGTGCAAGTCATAACGCCCAGTGTTATAACGCCCGCGGGCGTAGATGGGGCGATGAGCCCGTGGGCCCTATGACACTTTTGAGAGTGTCATAACGCACATGTGGCCCATTCAGCGCACCAAAAACCCACCGATCGATTCAGCCGGGGCAAGTGAAGTGCCACATCCGCCACATAGAACTCCATATCGAAGTGTTTCCGTTCCTCACTGGAACTCTGGCGATTGACCTCGTAGCAAAAAGATAGCTGACCCAGCCACTTGTCGTTGCCAAAGAGCAGCTGGCCACGATAGCGTCCAGAGGAGTCATAAGCTGGAAGAAAGGAAGTTTTAAGATCCTTCATCAAGGATTAAACCCTTTAAGAGACTAAGACTCACCCTTCTGCGCCCACTCATAACTGGAATGCAGGGCAGTTAGATAGGCCTGCATCTCTAGGCCACAACCTGTGCGAACGCTCGTCCGAATCTCGGATATCTGCCAATAGAAGTGGTCATAGAGATTGGCCACCAGCTGGAAGTAGTTGGCCTGGCCATAGAGACTCTCGGCCATGCTGCCGTTGCCCGTTCCATTGGCATTGGCCACCAGATAGCGATTTATGCTGTTGATGGTGCTGCCCAGGGTCTTCACCTGCAGTTCATCATCGCCACTCTGCTTGAGCAGATCGCGTCCCAGCTTGGGCGCCATTTGGGGCTTACTGCGCAGGATTTTCAGAATGTGGGTGCTGGAGGTGGTGGTTGTCACCGGAGTTCCAGTCGTCGTGGTTGTGGTTGTTCCCGGCAAGGTGGCCGTTGTGGGCTCGGTGGATAGCTCCACGTCCACGGTGTCGTTCTCGTCGGGATTGGAGGGACTGTAGCTGGTGCCCGAGGCCAGGACATGCTGCTCCTGGCTGCTGAGGTCACCCTTCTTGATCACCTCGTGCTCCAAATCCTCCAGATCGCCCAAGTTGAAGTCGAAGGTCACCGGATGTAGTTCATAGTCCTTGAGCGGATGCGGTGGCTTCACATACTCAATGCTCGGCAGGATCTTCTCCAGCGGCAGATAGGCCTTCTTCTTCAGCGGCTTGAGAGGCAGAATCTCGTGTGTGTTCAAAACTAATGGTGTTTCGGTTTCAGAGTCCTCAACTTCATGCAGGATGGTGATGTTGCTCGAAAACCGATGTCCTGTGAGGGCCTCTGCCTCCTGTTTTTGTGTCTCATTCGAGGACCTGCCGGGGCAACTGGAGATGAGCAATAGAAGAGCCACTAAGGCAATCCTTGGGTATGGCATATTTGCCAGTGGATCCTGCTCTTCTTTCACCCCACTGCTCTCCACTTGACCACTTTACACTGGGACTCGCGGAGTCTCTGGTCTCTAATTGTGGACCTGCTGTTCGGAATCTCTGGTGCAATGCTCGGCTAATCTCTGGCCAGCATTGTCTTAGGTATTTTGCTGGTTTTCCCGCGGGACGCAGTTGTGCGCACAGTTTACTAATTCCTTGTGCTCCTCCGCGGTCATTGTCGCAATCTCAGATTCTGGGCCACTTGGCTCATGGGTGTGCTGGCTAAAAAGGAAGCTGGTTCATCGTGATAAGAGCTTCAAGGATTTGGTATGGGATTTGGAAGATTACAATGAGCTACTTGGATAATCTTGGATTGACGTAATTTCCACTTGTTTATGAATCGATTTTTGATTTGTTTCCATGCAGGCTGTGTCTGCGAGGAAAAAAAAAGTAGCAGCTAGGGGAAAATTGCAAAATTTCCTGAAAACTCAAAAACCGAAAGAGAAAAACTTGTTAAACGTGTTGTGACCACCAGCAGTCGTGGTCGTGGCCAAGCTGGAAAAGCGTCGACGCGTCGGGAGGTTATTGGTATCATTGGTTATATAACTTCCGCGTATCGATTCGCCAAGATGGAGTGCCGATGATCATCGCCACTGCCCACTGGCTTTTTGCACCACATTATGAAATTTGCTCTTGGCTGATCAAATATAATTCACTCAGTCTTCAAGACCAAGAGTTGGGAGAAGTGAGGTCATTAGAATATCCATTTGGCGAAAAAAGTGAAAGGTAAGGGTCGCTTTGGCCCCCGCTCACCATATGTAAACACACTCTTTTTTTTTGGTGGGTGGCTCTGTGCTATTCAATTGTTTCCCCACCAACTACAAACCCAAAAAAAACAAACAAAAAACAAATAACAAAATCCAAGTGGCAATTGGATGGACAAACATATGTGCAAGAGAAGCCAAGCCAAGCCAATCCAAGCAAAACCAAGCCAATGCAAAGAAAAGCGAACCGAAATGTGTGTGTTTTTCTTCTGGACAGGTCTTTAGAGTACTGTATGGGATTGTTTTGTGTTTTTGGTTTTGGGCTAGACCACGACGACAACCGAACCGATGAAAGTAAAAACCGCAACTGATCAAGCGCCGCCAACGTTGGCATCTAAGAGCTGGGAGCTCTGGGAGCTGGGAACTCGGAGCTCCGATTCGGATTCGGACTGAGACTCGGATTCGTGGCTATATGGGGGGTACTGCGACTACCGACTCCGAATTGTGTGTGTGTGGTAAAAAGCGCTATAAAGCAAACATGCAGAAGGCATATTACATAGTATATGCACTCGCAAAAACCTGACAACTGCGAATGCAAACGGGCAACTGCAGGCGACTGCCTAAATGAAACCAAACGAATGCTTTTTATGATCAATTTTCGCCAGCAAAAAGCTGGGAGTGGAGTGTGTGTGCCGCCCAAGAGAGGTGATCTCGGCTTGGATTGGATTCGATTCGATTGGAGTGGAGTGGAGTGGAGTTTGGTCGAGAGTGGAGTGACCTGATCCGGACAACTGGCAGAACTCGCTCCCATATGCATGGCCCAAAACAATTACCACAATAATAATACTGGTATTAGTAGTGGCGGCACGACGACAGGCACCTGGCATCGAAATGTCGCAATAATCCAAAATCCATTCATTCGCACACACAAAACAATGTCCAATGTCCAGTGGAAAGCCTGCGAACAAGTTGATCCGCCTCTTGGAACACTTTCGATTGCATAAAGTTGTCTGGGGGCCGAGATGGGTTGGAAAATGGTATAACCCACATTGCCAATAAGTTATTCTTAAAGACCTAACCTTATCAGAAACAGAATATGTTAGTACTTGAGTAAAATGTGTGCGTAGTATTGTGAGTAAGTGTGATTAAATTGATATAATCAATATAGCAATTCAAGTTATTATAAGCTATTGCCTACTGAAAGGGTAAAACTATTTAAAGTGTTATGAATGATATATTAGTACTCTAAGGTTATCAGAAATAGAATATCTATTGTTGTGAATAAATATGGTAAAATGAATATAATCAATATATCAATTGAAGGAACTGAAAGATATTCCCTAATACAACTCCTTGTGGATCTATTCTACGAGTAATAATAAAGTAAATATATAGGTTTACCACTACTATGTTGGGTCTAACTATTCTACAAATTAATAAGGTATTAGGATAAATGAAAAATCTCAAGGAAAACTAAAAAAAAACACCTGCCAACCTCAAGAGCCGAATGCCCGTAAAGACTTAGCAACTATCCAGCTATCCACCGAAAGGTTGACAAACTATTTCACGTTTCTTCCTTTGCATTGCGTCTGCGTTTAATGCGTAATTGGACTTGGGACTTGAAACCCGAGACGGGACTTGAACATGAAATACTTGATTCCAGCGGAGGTCCAACACCTGAGATCAGGTGATTCCAGCCAATTGCGTTCGCTGGGTAATTGGAAAAGTTTTTGGTCAAGCCAGAAGTCAGCCGTAAAGAAAGCGACTCATTACGAGATAGACAATCAGCATGTTGCAATGCCCAATAGATGAAACAAACGACCTCGGACTTGCGAAAAGGGAAGCCGAGGCTCCATAAAAATAAAAATGATCTCCTGCACGGAAAACAATCCAAGTAGATATCAACAACAGATGTGTGAATAACAAGTCCATAATTTTTTTAAAATAATAATATAATATTGGGGATTCTCGTGAGCCTTGATACATGTTTTTTCGATATTATGATCTCAATTAGAAATCAAATGTAACTGGCTTTTCTTTCTGCGTGCTTCCGTTGAAAACTATATTATGTGACATCATATCATGTTAATACATTTTGGTAATTTGATATTATGATCAAATATCGAACCATGTGATGGGTCCTAAATGGCGTATAAAATCATCAACTAGTCCGCCGTATCGTATCGAATTTTCTCTCTGTGTGCCTCCAGTGGGCACACACCCCTGGATCTCTGGATCTTTGGATCTCTGGATCAGCACGAGCCGACAACAAGGCAACGTTTCCAATGACTGGGCAGCCCAGCTAGCCTGGCTAGGCCGACTGGGTGATGGTGATAGTCGTCGTCATTAAGTGAGTGTGCCAGCGAGTGTGGATTGGTAAACGCCGGAGCCGTATTTGTGATGCAATTTGCCAGAAACTCCATGGTTACGCTGGCCAGGCGGTGGAACAATAAAAACAGCAAGCCCAAAAGAGAAGCCAACGAAAAACCGAATGCCGAGTATAGAAAACCGATGGCCGAAACACGCTAACAAATTTTCTTTGCCAATACCGGAACAAATTGTACCGATTGGTTTTCCATCGTTTTGCCATTTGAGTGTCTTTCAAAAGCTTGGGAATGACTGACTATAAATCAATCGAGAAAATTCTCAAAGAACCCTGGCATATGTAATCTAAAAGCTATAAGCTATAGAGGGTAAATGTTATTGCTCTTTTTAGGGTATCCAAAAGAAAGGAAATGCCTTAAGCTATTGCAGTTTGGCGATTTCTTGGGCAACGAGTGAATTATTCCCCTGGTTTTTCACGAAAATAAAACCTGATTTTCAATGAAAGCTCTGCCAAAAAGACTTCAAGGAAAATTCCCCAATTTTCTAGTTGGTCTATACTTATTAACCCAATAGCAATGTTTAATCTTTACACGTTGTCTACTTAAAATGATCTCGACTTTATCTGCTGCACACTTTTGGGCTGCCTTGGGAAGTAAAGTTAGGCATATTTATGGGGTTTTTATGTGATATTGATATGATATGATTTCAAAAAACCTTGGGCTACAAACTGAATAACATTAAAATAACTTGTTTTAGGATTTAATAGAGATTTTAGACCTGAAGACGTATCCCAACTCAACTACCAAACTATTGTTTGGAGTTAACTCAAAAACTTTAAAGCAATCTTGAAGAACTCTTTTTGAGTATCTCTCTAGATTTACTTTTAACGTGATAATATATAAAATTTCTTTAAATAACTTTTTCTGTAGGTGGCCATGACTTTTTAGAATAAACCCATTTAAATAGACTCAGGGGTCAAAAGTTCAAGCCTTGGTATAAGAAAATTAAGATTGTACGTCAAGGTCATTAGATTCTTTTAAAGACCAAAGATAAAGGCATTTGGCAAATGAATTTTTGGATTACCATAGATAGGTAAATGATGACAAATTCTCGGTGCTTCGGCGAAATTCGCTTACTTATTACGATTTTAGCGCCTAACGACCACTAACGGTACGCCAGAAGACATTAGCCAATGTCGACGAGGAGCAGAAAATCGTGTGGCATCTGGAGATCTGGGAATCCGGAGGCGGAGGAGCCAGGGAGCGAGGCAAGTGGAGTAATCATCATCAGGCCAAATGAAGCTTTGCCCATCTATTTGAGTGCGGAGCAGGCGATGGCAATACAACAGGAATTCCACTATTCGCGAGCGGAATGGAATGGAGTACAATATATAATCACCGATCTTAATGGCGAAAATATTTTGATAGTTGATGACCCAGAAGCGGAGGAACTAAGACAATGGGCTGATCACCATTTGGTAAGGGGTTACCAGGTCAATGAATCCATCAGTAGAGCCTCAAAGATCAAGCTACCGTTTTTCGGATGGCAAGAGGCTTACCCAGGGATTTCCCTTTCGATGGAAAAGGGATACTTTTGTTTTGGTAGGTTGGGAGGTTGGGGAAACCGTTAACTCGAGCCACATTGTTAACATGTGCGGACGCTGATCATAACCATAATCGGGACTGTATGTTGCTTGCTATATGCTAATGTGCCTTGTGTCTTGGTCATTTGCATTTTCCCATGGCCCATCGAGAGTCCCAGAATCCCAGAATCCAGTTAGCCAATCCAGTTGGCCGAGTGACTACACGGCAAAAAATGGAAGACAATTCATATTTCTAGATTATAAAACTGACAAAACCATTGATTCGGTTGAATTCTCTAATATTCTACATTAAAATCTATCTATTAAACGAGGGTCAACACTTTAACCCATTTTCGTGTTCGATTTTTCTGTATTTCCAATGGCTTTCAGTATGGGAACCCAAAACTGCAGTTTCAGATTCTATAACTTGAGTTGTAGGACTCAGATTTTAAAGTGGGATACCTCTATTAATTTGTGGTTGAATTCTCTAATATTCTACATTAAAATCTATCTTTTAAGCGAGGGTCCAAATTTTAACCCATTTTCATGTTCGATTTTTCCCTATTTCCAATGGCTTCCAGTATGGGAACCCAAAACTGCAATTCTAGATTCTATAACTTGAGTTGTAGGACTCCGATTTTAAAGTGGTATACCTTTATGAGTTTGTATTTAAATTTCCCAACAATCTACATTAAAATATTCCTTTTCAAAGAGGTTCCAAATTTTGACCCATGTTCATGTTCGATTTTTCCCAATTTCCAATGGTATTCAGGAATGTGACCCGAAACTGCATTTCCAGATTCTTTAACTTGAGTTGTAGAGCTCCGATTTTAAAGTGGGATACCTCTATGACTTTGTATTTAAATTTTCCAACAATCTACATTAAAATATTCCTTTTCAAAGAGGGTCCAAATTTTGACCCATGTTCATGTTCGATTTTTCCCAATTTCCAATGGTACTCAGAAAGGTGACCCAAAACTGCACTTTAAGATTCCATAACTTGAGTTATTGGACTCCGATTTTGAAGTGGGATACCTCTATGAGTTTGTATTTAAATTTCCCAACAATCTACATTAAAATATTTCTTTTCAAAGAGGGTCCCAATTTTGACCCATGTTCATGTTCGATTTTTCCCAATTTCCAATAGTACTCAGAAAGGTGACCCAAAACTGCACTTCAAGATTCCATAACTTGAGTTATTGGACTCCGATTTTGAAGTGGGATACCTCTATGAGTTTGTATTTAAATTTCCCAACAATCTACATTAAAATATTTCTTTTCAAAGAGGGTCCCAATTTTGACCCATGTTCATGTTCGAT